TTTCTTAACTTGAAAAAAATTAATGAACATTTTAAATTATTTTCAAGCTAAAGAATTATAGTCAGAATAGAAACCCAGCAATGGTAGCCACACAGATGACTTGTATAGTCTAAAGCTAGTGAATGGTGTGTCAATTGAAAATCCCTAAAGTATAGTATCAAATAGAAATTTCCTTATATTTTTCTATTTTAATAAAATATAGTAATATAATCTCCTAAAACATGCATTGTTCTAATTGTATTGATATAGTAAATACATTTTGGGGATCCGAAAAAAACATAAAGATTTGACCAATACATCTGTGGATTACAATTAAGAAATCTCTTTACATGGAATTGCAGGGACCATCCTTGTTTTCAAATGCCTAACGCATGCCTGAGAGACAAAGATAGTCTATAGATGTTTAAAAACAATCTACTTTTCACATACATTCAAAATGCCACAAAGTTTACAAAGATACATAAGTTGGATATAGACTTTCTGGCTGACTTCATGGGGTCCCACTGATGACTAGATGTAATCTTCAAATCCATAGAAAACTGGAAAGCTGATAATTCTCTGGGTAAGGACCAAAAAAACAAAGTCAGGGAAACAGGTCACCTAAACAACAACTGCTCTACAGAACTGGCAAGAACAGCCTAATAATCCCAACTACTCACAGCAACACAGACTCAGTGTACCCTGAACAAATGGACATTTAGGCAAGTTTTATGTCATTGTATAGTCAAAATAAGCCACTTCTGTCAAATTCTATCCTGATGAGGATTAGAAGGAAATATGTATTTAAATCTTATGAACACTGTACTTTTAAACAGTATTTAATTTGGTTGTTAATTAGAAAATGTGAGAACCACAGCAACAAGAAAAAAAATTCTGAGGAAAATAAAAAACTTTCATGGTATTAAGAATTATATCAATAGGAGGGGAAAGATGATAGAAGTTAATCTTACACTTCTTAGTTGAAAAAAAAAAACAAATAGATCTATTTCTAAAACTAATATGGATTATGTCAACCAACCAGTTGGCCCTACCTATGCATCTTGTTTGCTATGAATTGTATGATAGTGTATACAAATTCTCATCAGATGAACTTTTGTCTTTAAGTTGTTCATTAAGTCAAACTTGCAAGTAAACATTTAGAATTCTAATTGTTATAAATGGGGTTCTCAAAACAAGAGTAAGAGAGAGATTTGCTGAGCTGATTAACTGGAGGTTTGAGGTAGGGGGATTAGTAGTTGAGAAAGTAGAACTGATTCTGAAAAGTAATAATCCACAAGCAGTGAAATTAGTACTTCTTCAAATAGGCAACAACAAATTACCACTTTACAAATGGGCAAATCATAGTTCTAAAGCTATATACCTTAACATTCATAGAAAAGAATTAGCCTAGACAGGCCTGGTAGTTGCTCAGTTTTACTCCCAGGATGGAGGAGGCAGAGGGTAGGTGGATCTCTACAAGTTAAAAACAAGTCTGGTCTAGATATGGATTTCCAGATCATAGACTCTGTCTTGAGAAAAGCCTATGTATAATACTTTCAACTGCTACACACAGAATAAGCTATTAAAGTTTCATTTCTGGCATAAATAAATAAATAAAATACAACAGCAGCAAAAAAAAAAAAGGGCATAGAATCCTTGAATTCTTCAGGATTTCTAAATATCACAGCACATAAAGAATTAGATAATGTGACCTCCAAGGTAGTAACTAGGTGAAAGATTATCCTCCTAAAATATCAACAGTCTTTTACACTTAGAATATAAGCCATACTAAAACTAGAATAAAAGGTTTTCAAGTCATGCCATTATCTCATCTAGAGAAAATACAGAGTCTTCTAACCACGTATGGGTTAAGTAGGAAACAGATGAACAGGAACTTTCAAAGGAAAATACAAAGTATGGCACCACTATAATCCCACTGCTCAAAAGGCTGAGGCAGGATGAGCATGAGTTCACACCCAGCCTCAGCTCAACGAAAAGGAAACCCAAACTAAGCACAGGCATTAAACTTAAGACTGTAAATTCTTACCTAGCTGCCTACTAGCCCTAGACTGTCCCAACTGTCTACACAAGTTGCATACTTAATTCTATCAATTACATTATGGTTGTGAGATTTAAGAAGACAGAAAATCTGAGGTGGACCAGTAATAGTAGTACTGATGATGGGAGAAACAACTCAGAATTAGCACAGATTTCTGCTTGAGTGAAGTAATCACATCTCAGAGAAAGGTGGGGAAAAAAAGTGTTTAAATTCATAACAGAAAGAAATAGGACCATACTGTTCACTGCCACAGTTCCCCACCCTCTGTATAAATGTCTACTTTTATACATGATTGGCAATTAAAATTTTACTAGACAAGTTTCTACATATGAAATGCTTTTGGGTTACTAAAATATGCATATATCATGTTTTGGCTTTACAATCAAGAAAAAATATAAAACAAAAAAAAGGATCATCAAATTGAAATACTATGTCAAAGATAATATGCCAAATATCTTTATAGATTTATTTCTTCAATCCTTTTTGCTGATCAAATTTCTGTTTTTCTACTGCTGACATAAATTATGGAATCAAAGAAGCCAATGCAGTTTTTAAAAAGCGAGAGAGAGGCATACGAATAGAATATGAATGTGTGAATCCTTTTTCAAAGAAAGGCTAAGGAAATGAATAAATGAAACAAAATATTACCTCCTAATGTAAGCTGTAACTATGAGGCCTACAACAGAAATATATTTTTAGTACTGGTGGAATAAAATATGGCACTCTATTTTGAAATATAGGTATAATATATAAATATAAATAAAATATAGCACTGTAAAATAAGAGCCATAAGAACATATCATATAGGAATACAGAACAGTTATTTTTATGAAGACTGTTATTCTTTATAGAATAAACTAAATCTAGATCTAGATTTACCTTTCGATGTGTAGCCAACTATAACAAATTACAACTTCATGACTTTTTTAAAAAAATCAGGAAAGTTTATTTTGGAAATTTATTTTCCTACATATGTTGTGAACAATTTGTTCACAACAAAAATTGAGATGAAAACCTCGTCTCGATTTACAACAGTAAATAAATAATTCAGTTAAAACTGAAGTGGTACCAATCCAGCAAAATGTTGATGGAGAGATAGGGCCTTCTATGCAGCAAGAACAACATAAAGTTTTCAATAGGGATTACTTGTTCAGACAAGTTACAAAGATTAGAGGGGGGAAAGTTAGTTATGAAATAGCTAATATTTTCATGTTGTGGAAAATAAATACCAGAAAGGTATGTGGGAAAAAGATAATATCAGTGGCATTTAAACTAAACATCTTAAGCTTTGAATATATAGTCAACATGAAACAGATATCAGATATTGAGAGAGAGAGAGAGAGAGAGAGAGAGAGAGAGAGAGAGAAGTGTAAAATCCAACCAAAGGCCTTATGAACTAAAATTTGAAATCTGCTATGTAATTCAGACAAAATGAAAAATGGAGAAGCTAAACACCTAACGTAAAACCAGTCAAATCTTCCAACACTAAAGTCAATATCCAAGCCACAGACAGAAAGAAGCAAAGAGAGAAAACACTCAGGTCTACAACTGGTTAAAGCAGTTCCAACACAATTCAGATCCCGACATTTTCCCACTCAGAAACAAATGCAGGCAGATTTTCCCGAGGAAAGGGAAAAAAATCTCTCTAAATGTAATTTTATAAGTGACATCCAAAAAGTATGCCTCTTTCTGTATCTTTTTCCCTGGCACCTCATTGGAGGAAGGAGGGGGTTGTTTTTATATTCTCCCCCACTGAAGCAAGACACAATCAGATGTTAGCTGGAGAAACCACTTTTGACAACAGCAAATAAAAATAAAAGTGTCCTTCCTTCCCTGACAGGGTGGACACCCCACCTCACACACCCCTCCTCACTCCTGCCCCTCCTTCACTCACCCCCCAGCACCACCCCCTCCTCACCCCGGAGCTCCACTGCGTATGAGGTTTGGTGCTACTGCTGCCCCGGAGTGAAAGTCAGAGCCAGAGGAAGGCAATGGAGCCCCCACAGACTCACTTACCTTTCCTGCCCCCCACTTTTGAGTGCCTTCCCTGGAGCTGTGGAGGATGACACAAAGGGTAATAAAGGGGGGGGAGTGGAGGAGGAGGAGGCAAAGGAGGAGGAGGAGAGCTGGGGAAGTGGCTGCTCCCGGTGTAGGGAGATGTCTCCAGCCAGGGCCAAGCAGCAGCAGCAGCAGGAGGAGCAGCAACAGCAGCAGGAGCAGCAGCAGCAGCAGCAGCAACAGCAGCAGCAGCCAAGGGTCTGTGTTGCTAAGAGGCTTTTGGTCTCTTTCTCTCCTCTCACGGCCACAGAGAAGGAGGGTGGAGGGGGCTCTGGAAGCAGGCGAGTAGAGGGCTGAGGGGGTAGGAGTCGTGGATGGGGGTTTTCTAAGAAGAAGAAACTCCTCTCCTCTCTCTCAGGCTCAATCCCCCACTCAGGGCTCAGAGCTGGAGGGTGGGGGAGGAACTCAGCCGTCTTCCCCCCACCCCCCTCAATTCAAGGTTGAAGTGGGGTAAAATTAGTGTCCTGTCCCTTTAAAAATAGAAATAAAAGGTGCCCCCCCTCTGCCACTGCCTCTCTCTTCATCATCAGCTGCTGCTGCTGCTGGGGTCTCTCTGCTTGGGGGGGAGGGGGGGCTCGGGTAGAAGAGACGGGAGGCACTCACTGCGCATGTCCCTTTCTGACGGGAGGCTGGTTGGTTGAAGGCAGGCGGAGGGGGAGGGGAGGAAATGAGATGTTTTCCCAGAAGGCTCCAAGGCGCTGTCGACCCGGAAGACATTGTAGCAGGGGGTAGAGGGGCGGGGGCGGGAAGAGGGAGGAAGTTGCTACTCTTTAACACCCCCAGCCGCCTCCTCCCTCCTTAGGGAAAGTGGAGGGACGGAAGTAGGCGTGGACCGAGGGGAACGGAGGTCACGTGTTGGGGCGGGGCGGGGCAGCAGAGGCCGGGCGCGCGCCGTGCTTGCTGGGAGTTGCTCTGTGCGCTTGGCAGCCCTAGGTAAAACAGAGCTGAGAAGGCGGTGAACTTCCTGGGTCCTCACTGTCGTCGGCGGCTGGCTTTGCCCGATTTAGGCAGGCTTTACTGCGGGAGGTAAGGCTGGTCTCGTAGGCAAGGTCAGGGCCGCAGTGGACACTTGCCGGTGGACGGTGCTCAGATTTCAGTCTGAGGAGACTGAGAGGCTTGTGTAGGCCCGATAGGCCTAAAGCAGGCGGCCTTCGCCTGGCTCTTGGCTTCCTGGCGATGCTGTGGAGGAAGCCCTGAGCAGGGCACACAGTTCTGCTGAGACCGGTTAAAGAAGGCTTGTGGGTGAGGAACGTGATTGGCCAGTGTTGAAAAATCGGGTTCTCCGCAGAGAGAAGCACTACCTGCTTTAGAGCGTGCGACCTATTTGGAAAAACCAAACCAGAGGTGTGAATTTTGATCAGCTGTAGGTAGCCTTGCTTATATTGGCTATGTACCCATCCTGCCTTCCTTACTTTTCTGTTTTCCTTGGAATTTTGGAGAAGCTGTAGACACGGAAAGGAAAGGTTTGAGTGCTCTTTGCCTTACTGCTGCAAACACAAAAGACTGCCCATTTGAGGATGTTTGGGATTTTGTAATTCTTCATACTGAGTTTTGTCATTAAAAAAGAAAAAACCTTGACATTTTCTTTTTTTGTGGAGTAAAAGAGAAAGCTTGTTATCTGGGTTTTTCTTTTTTATAGTGAAATAACGGATTTTTTTCCATCTTCACTTTCTTCGTTAGTCTTCTAGTAGGTTTTTGTCAAGATACTTTAGAGAATTATTACTTCGTCTTTAATAATCCAAGTTACCTAAAAAAATTTTTAAATCGAAGATCTTCGAACTTACTGTTAGTTTTAACTATTTCAGTTCTGCTCAGAATGATTCACAGTTAAAGTTACACATTTTCCAAATTTTTCTTGGTGCGAGTGTATACAGTACTCCACTTAATGTATCCATTGCCCGGTGCTTATCTTTTCTTCCTTCCAGAGAGGTAATTATACCAGATGGGCTCAAAACAAAATTCCAGTGCCCTAAAATGTTATTAGAAAACCAAATCTCAATCTTGTTATAGCAAAAACTATATATATATAGCAAGAAAACTATTATGGCCTAGTTAAAACTTTTAAATCCTGTTTTGTGTTAAGGGCCTTATGTGTGGAGAAGTGCACAAAACACAGATGTATGAATCAAGAACCAAAACATGGATAGCAGCTGGCAAGCACAGGTCCACTAATGGCTTCCAGACCATTCTTCCTCCTGTGCCACCTTAATATTATCCTGAGATTCGCTGCTTTTCTTTTAGTAAAACCTTATCTCAGCATTTCTAAACAAATATCAGGTTTGCCTCTCTTTTTATCTATTTGTAGGTAGTTCACATATCCTATTAAGGCAGAGCATGCAGGAAGCCTTTATTTACTCGGATTTGACCCTGTTAATATAGTTTGCTGCAATTTATATATTTTCGTTGTGGTGTACGGTATATACACTTTTTAAACTAAGCCACAATTAGTCTTAATGAACTTTGGCTTGTGTTCATTTATGTATTTTTATGAGTTGTATGTGGCTGTCTTCAGTTTTACAAAACTTTAAAACTGGTATGCCGTTTTATACCCTGGCCTCAGGTGTGATAGGTTCTCACTTGTACCATCTCACCAACCATTATCTTTTAGTTTTTGCCAATCTGATGAGTGTGGTTTTATAATTTGCACGGTGTTGAGTAAAGTTCTATTCTGGGGATATTGTCTGTTTTCAGAAACTTTCTGGCTGTTTGGATTTATTCATTCAGAAATTGTCTTTTAAATCATCCTTTTTAAGTCATTCGTATAGTTTTTTTCTATTTTACTGTTTTCCATAAGGATTTATACCATTGTGGCAGATGGATGATCTGTTCTTAGAGTATTACTTTCTTTCTGGATAGTATGTGAACTGTCTTAATTTATATGTTGTTCTTGTTTCTTGAATTTCATATTTAGCTTTATCTCCAGAACATAAGTTTTCAACTTGTGCTAGACAGTACAATTGCCAGCAGCCCCGTTTGGCTTCTGAGCACTTTCAGTGTATGTTGTAGGGAGTATGACTTACAGTAGGATTTTTTTTAGTGTCTTGTTGTTTCATTTTATATTTGAAAAGTGTGTAAAATATCTTAGCTTCTCATATTTGCTTGTTAAATTTTAACTACTTTCACTTTGTTCTGCTTTATTAAATATGCTAGAAAATGTTAAATTACTTAGCATTTACATTTATGTTGGACAGCAGTGTTCTTAACTATGAATATTGACATAGATGTTTCTATATCTTGGTCACTTTCTTCTGATTAATATCCTGCATTTTTGTCTTTTTTGCTTCTTTTTCCTTTTGCTTAGGATAGTCTGCAGAAGTCCCTTAATGTATTTAACCATTTCTCCTATTTCTTTGCTTCAAAGCCCTTGTTTTGCCTTCAGTTCTGAGGAATTATGGTTTCTCCCATCTTTGTGGTTATTTTTCAACACTTTGAAGATAACATTCTACTTGATTTTTTAGCTTCTGTTACTAATTTGCAGAAATTAGCTCTAAATCTAATTCCTGGCTCATTTAAAGAGAATCGTTTTTTAAAAAATACTTTGTTAGCTATGGTTGTCTGCATTTTTTACTCTGATGAGGGGGGAGGTGCAATTCTTGGTCATGCTTTAGAATCCTTTTGGATTCTGGTATCAGTATATCATTGTCTTTGTAAAACAGAAGGAACTGATTGTACTTAACCTCCTGAAAATTAAAATCTTTACTTTCATTGCCATGTATTCAATTCAAGGTTCTAAATTTTTTTGGAGTGTGTTTCTGTACAATATGTACTTATTTCTCAGGAGAGTGTAACAGTTATGTCCTTTGGGAAATTAGAGGAATATGTGAGGTATGGAATAATGGCATTTTTAAAAAATCACACTTTCCTAGGAAAGATTCCTAGGATTTTATCATATCTAAATACTAGAATTTCTCACTATAGACATAACATTTTGCAGGGCTTAAAAATATATTGAAATCCTGCCATTTTCCCTTATCCTGATTAGGTGGCCCTTGATTTCTCAACTTAAGTTGGGTAATTTCTTGAGTACTCACTTTTGGTGGGCCTTGAGCTGTGGTGTTGTACCTTAATCCTGCAAAGCCTCAGTTGACTCATCCTGTTTATTTGGCAGAAATGACTGGATATGGAGTTTGTTTCTGACTTTTCTCTTTCTAGATCCATGTAATTTCAGACTGCTTTATTTCTATTATTGTCAAGTGTGTGCGTTTGTTTGTTTTGCCTTTAGCAAGATGATCTGTCCAGTTTGCTTTAACCATAACTTTAAACCTCATATACTCTTTTGGTTGTTGATTTAAATGATAGAAGTTCTTGATTTTTGTGAATATGTAGCAAGGATGTGTTGACAAGGAGCAGTTGTTTAGGACTGAACAAGTGATACTTTGAAATTACAGAAATATTCAACAGCTATCTATCCAAAAGTAAGATATCAGGGAGAGACTAGGTATGCTCTGGTTGTTGGTTTTCCTTTTAGCATTCTTAACCACCTGTGTCAGTAAAAATATAAAATTAGTTTGACTTTTTTTAGTATATGTAAACAAATTATACATTGTATTTCACCTTTTTTCTTATGCTGCCAAGAATTAACTTCAATTAAGCTATAATTCATACACTTTTGTTACCATATACTGATGTCTCCTATATCAAATACAGTGAAAGGATATAGAAAAGGTTAAGATATTTGTATTAAAAAGCTAAATATATCATCCTTAATAATTATTCCTAAAATTGAAAAGCAATGTTATTTGAAGTTTAATACTAGAAGAATTAGCAAAAATAACTGGAAAATGTCCTGAGACAGCAAAATGACAGCCACCTGATCCATTATCATAACCTTCCTGCACTAAGCAAAGTGCCAAGTAAAGACTAAAATATTTTAGTCTCCCCTATAACAAAGAGTAATGATGTGGTTTTAAATACAAACTATATAGAAGTACATCTTCTGTTGTTTGTGTGTTTTGCTTTTGTGTTGGATTTCGAGATAAGATTTTCCTATGTAGTCTCATGCTGTTGTAGGATCCTCTGTGTTGCCTAGGCTGGCCTTGAATTTACCATGAATCTCTTGACTTTAGATTCTAAAATACAAAATTAAAGCTTGCATTACTACAAGAAGAAGTGATTTTTACATTTGAAATTGTTACTTTATAACAAAACAAATTGTTTACAAATATTTTGTAGTTTTAATATATTGTCTTGTACCATAGAAGCAAATTTGATTTCAGTATTGCACAGACATGTAAGGTAAGTTAAACATCCAGTTTTAAACAGAGTAAGTTCCTACATCCCTGCTTATAAACACTGTCCAATCTTCTCTACTATTGACCTAGTTTTCAGTATGAACTCTTGTCTTAGTAAGTTGTATTAGTTCAAGCCCAGGGTTGACAATGAAGTTGTCTTTGTATTATATATTCTGAGAGTGTCATTACGGTATCATTAGTATGCTGACATGTAAAAAAAAATCTCTTGTGACTGTCCCTTATTACCTTTCCCCGGATAAGAAAGTCTCAGTAGCAGTGACTTGAGAAGTCAGATTACATCCACTGTCAAAAGCAAGGACCAGAGATTTAATAATGCAATGATGCTAGGGTTCAGCTCTCTTTTTATACTTAAACAGATCAGGAGCACCAAGACCAAAGAATTGGATCTCTTACACTGGGTGACTTATCCTAAATTATTTATACTTTTTGATGGATTTATACCTGTGGTGTATGTGGGTGTGGGTGTGTGCACGAATGTGCACACAGAAGTGCATGAGTGCATTTACATATGTATTTGACATGTGCAAATGTGAATAGTATTATTTTAATGTGGGAATTAGGTTTGCTGTATGAAAGCAATAAGCATTGTATATTTTTTACCCATAAATGACATAATAGGTATTAAGTGATATTTAAGGATTTTATACAAGGACAGTCATAATATCTGTGAAACAAGACCATTTTTTCCCGTCATATCTGTGTCTTTGACTTTTCTTACCTAACATCTTATAAGGCTTCCTATACCATTTGAAGTATAATAGTGCCATTCTCTGG